CCCTCGCTCTTCACCTTCGGGTTGTTCTCCGTCGCAGTCTTGGTCGAAGGCTTCGGTGGGCTCTGGCGGATTGGCGAGAGTGCGTTGGGGTACGGTGTCTTGTTTGGGCTCTCCGTGGTCTGTGAGCAGGATGCCCCAGCCATCAGCGCCTCTCCCAAGGTCTCGTTCGCTCGGACCTGAACCGTTGCGCGGCCTCGTCCACGGGTCTCCACCAGGGTTCGACCTCGAATCTCCGGAGCTTCCGATTGAAGATCTTCCCCGTAATCTCGTGCGCCTGGAAGATTCCTGAAGCTCCAGCTGGGCCAGTTCGACATGATCTGGCGGCGGTCCAATGGCCCTGTTGTCCCCGGCGCCAGTGCCCTTGGTGGTGTATCGGAGTCTCAGGCCACAATGATTGCAGGCCTGCCAGGCCGCGAACTTGTTGGTTCGCTGAGGTCCAGGAACGTGATGCCCCATGCAAGGCCAGCCGACATGGCGTGGGCCCTGGTCCGTGGAAGGAGGACATGTCTTCATTGTCCGTTAACCTCGTCCTCTTGAGATCGTTCAACCGTTGAGCCAACTTGCTGAGGCGGTCGGACAGAGTATCAGCGTTTGACTCTTCCTCAACCATGAGCACTCGACCACCAAAAATTGCTGATTGACAGTCCCCACGCTGCTCCACATGACCATGCGCTTCTCCATGCTCATGTGTTTCATGTCCTTCAACGGCATGTTCGGCTCGAATCACATCGCTGATGAAGGATGACACAGTCTCCAGGGGCCTCTCAGAGTCCTCGAGTACCTCGCGGTTCTCCTCTTCTAAGTCTATGGGAACACGATGAACGGTCACATCTTCTCCCTTTTCTCCAGCTGGTGCTTTGGGTTTTTTTGAGGGGAAGGTCTGGGTCTTCATCGTGTTGATGTCCCGGCGCAGAAGGCGTGTAGTTGGAAACATCGCCTGATTGGAGAAACGCGGCGGCTCTCACGTATTGTTCTCGACGTTCTTCAGTCATCTCCGCATAATAGGGCTCTGGAGGTTCCTCTGGTTCTTCGCAAGCATGTCCAGCGGTGGCCGTCAGAAGACGTCCCGTTGGGTCATGCTTCCCTTTCTCCGTGTGGGTCCGAGGTCTCTTCTTCCAGGGTGGAGGTTCATCTCCAGGATCTGAATCATCGCCTGCGTCCTCATCTGGTGGCCAGCGAGTGGACGGATTCGTATTGAATCGCTTCAACAGGAACTCAATTGGAAGCTTGTGCTGGCTGAGGTCAATCACCAGATGTCCACAGGGGATGACCACAGTTGGCTGACCCACCATCGACCATCGCCACCACGGTGCGCCAGATAGTCCCCATGATAGGAGATCACAGCTCTTCATGCTCGGAGGATTCGTGACCCGATGAGCAGGGGCGTGTCCTCCGCACCGCCGTCCAGCAGGTAGAATTCCATGCCTCCCATAGCATTGGTCATCACATGACATTTGGACACCGCTCGTTGATCAGCGTGATGTCGTACAGGAAGTGGCCTGAGTCGATCAGCTTCGACATGGACCGAATGCCGGAGACAGACTCGGTGGCTCCCGTGTCAATGATCGCCTTAGTCAGAGAGAGTTCTCCAAGGCGCGTGTCCTCGGCCAGGCTCATTACGTTGACCTCGTAGTAGCCATACTCCGGGGCGAAGCCCTTCATCGAGCCCTTTGGCGAGGAGGTAGGTGAAGTTTTCCCGGATGAAGATCCACGAGACCACCTGTCAGGGCACTTGGCATACCCATGACCATTCTGCCGGCAAATGAAGCAGGGTCCACAGCTTGCGGCACCATTGCCCTTCCCCTTGCCGAAAGGACTCTTCTTTCCTTTTCCTTTTCCTCCGAGGCTGCCGGCTGGTCCACCTTTCATCCCAACCGGACTGTAGTAGCCCCGGGCGGCTCTCACCTTAGCAACTGCCATCTTTGCCTCAGCCAGAGTCTTGTTGGCCTCGGCCGCAATGGTGTAGGCCTCTTCCAATCGCTTCTCACCTTCAAGATCTTCTTGCGCTGGATCGCGCCCTTCTTCTTCTCCCGGTTGATGGCCCTCACCATTCTCGAACTCAATGCCATCGTCTTCCTCCCAGTAGGTCGGCGACCAGTCATTCCAGTAGGCATCTTCAGACCACCAGTCCGGCTCGCTCGGCCACCAGTCGTCCTCGATCTCCCAATCGTTGGAGTCCTCAGTGAACCAGGCGGTATGTCGAGGAAGTCGTCCATGGTCATCCGACTGGTCCGCCCCGTCAGCGAACAAGGACCGCAAGGCCTGCCTGATCTGGTTGAATTGCGTTGAGTTCCGCGTCAGGGTCAAAACATGTTGTCTCTCTGCCTGACTCAGCTTCGCTGCCTTAGAAGCCTGTAGCCCCTCAGTTCGTGCTCAAAGGTCACATCTTCGCGAACCGAGCCCAGTCCAGCCCGAGCCACATTCGGGGACCTCGTAGGTGAGGTTGGCGGGTCATGTTCACTGGCACCAACTCCCATCGACCTGACCTCATGTCACTTTCGTGGCGAGCTCGTTGAAGGGCCTGTTGAAGCTCGACGATCAGCTCCTCCTCCCGGACCAGGAGTTGCGGGATGGTCTTGTGCGCTGTTCTCTTCAAGCTCGACCACTTCTCGAGCCTCGAGAAGCTATCCGGGATCGGAAGCTTCTGGAGCGGACTCGCGGAGGACAGAGAGCAGCTTCTCCATGCCATTCTCGGAGCTGAAGTCCTTGGGCTCGAGGTGCTTCACTACGCTCTTTGCGACTCCCGACAGCTTCTGCCAGACCCGTGGGGCTGCCAGCTTCTTCTCTGCATCCTTGACAGTACTCAAACCACTTGCACAAGGTGGCGAAAGCCTCAAAGGATGCTGGGTCTCCATCCCAGCTTGGGATCTCCTCCGAGGGCATCTCACCCTCTTCTTCCACCAGTCGTCACCGCCAGCTCCTCAAGGAAGATCGTCTCCAGCAGCTCCGACTACCATGCAATCCGCCCTGTCCCAAGGGCAACCGCGGTCCGTCGTGGGCCAACGCGCGCGGCGCGCCGAACCCTTTTGGCCTTAGCCGCTCGAGCCCCGCCACTGAGGTCAGGGAACAGTAACGTGACGCTATCCTTGCACAAGGGGTCATCCAAATCAACCACCGTTTGAACAGGACCCGCAGACCAAGACCAAGGCCCAACACGCCCCCAACTGGACAGCGCAAGTCCCGGCGCAGCACAGACGGATATGCGATATGAGCGAAACCAATCCGAACCCAGTCGTAATGACATCTGTGGATCTTGATCCAACAGCAATAATTCCAAGCGCCAAGGATTCTGAACGGAGAATTTAGGTGCACAAGGTTAAGTGATACTGAGACCGCTGCACCCAAAGGTTGACTGGACTCAAGCAAGACTGACATTTCACCTGATGCTTCAGATCAGTCAGGTTTCAACAAAAGATCTAAAACGGCTGCAGTGAGACATACAAAACATGTGTGACCTATGTTGTACACGTAAGTGACCCAACATCGGATGAGTTTCCACAGCACCAAATGCACAACATATCTTTCCCGTACGGCCCACCCGAAAATAAGCACCAAATGCAACAGTGCAAGCAACACTCGAGGAGGCAGCCCAAGCACGTGCAGAATTCCAATCAACACGATGGAAGGAAACCGGCAACCAGCCGTTGAAACACGTCAGCATCACATCTTTTCGACTTCTCAGGATGTCTAAGGCACCAAGCACGCCAGGCATTCCGGTGCTTTTGCTGCGACGCTGGAACTGAACAAGGCATGTCTGCAAGATCAAGCGCGTTGCGCAGGTCATTACACTTCCAAACGAACTGACGTACAAGCCGCCAACCACGCTTGCACAACCAAGCATGCAGAGTCTTGACAGGGTGTCAGCCTGGACTGACCAAGTAAGATGTCAACCTGAAGCCGCAAACGCCCGAGCACGCCAACCATCTATTGGCACACGAGATATCAGGATGAGAGTTGCCCCAAACAACGCGGCCCTCAACCACACCCTTGCCGCCTGAAGGCACCGAGAACCCATGCTGACTTGAGCCCACAAACTTTTAACCTCAGAGAGGGTGGAAACCGCACCAACCATCAAAGCAAACGACCTCACAGCACGCATAATCGTAAAGCGAGGGTGGACAGCAACCGAAGGACAAGACGACGCGAATGGACGAGCCAGCTTCTTCCTGAGACGCTGTGAGTCGATAAAGTTAACGTCGACACGCCCGACATGTCATACTCAGAAACAGTCCAAGTCTGCATGAAAGCAAACAAAGCGGCTCGTTTCGCAGCCGCGTTCGCAGCCGCATACGCTTTACCAACGTTCTCAACCAATCACCTGAGATAAGGGGTTGAACCAAGTGGACGAGGTGAAAACAGTGACACTGGCCACATCAGCCAGTGATACTCTGATGACCCCAAGTGCTCACAAAAAACAGCATGCATCCCGCCCTGACCTTAAAGCCTGAAGCAAACTGGCCACGAATGCAAATTTCTAAAGGCCAGCATGTCCAAATGAAACGACCTACAAGACTCTAACCTTGAGAGCAAAGCCAAGCATGCAAGGTCTTGACTGTGTGACCAGCTTGCGTGCATGGACCAATCCAGCAAATCTAAAATCCGATAAAGGATCCTCACAAAAAAGTTGCATACAGAAGCGCGTCGTTCGGGGCGCGCGCTCACATGCAGTGTTCATGTTGCTTCGTTGCTGGACTGTTGGGTTCCCGGATACTCCTCAACCAGCAGTTCAACTCGAAACCTCAACACCCTTTTGACTGTATTGCTTGCTTCAGCTGAGCACCAGCAAGTCAAAAGTTTGCGCAATGGCAACCAGAAGGAATTGAGAAAGTACGCACAGTGGCACAAACAAGCACGCCCTTGTTTCTTTGACTGAAACTGTAGTGCACGTCAACAAATCATCAATGCCAGTGGACAAATGAAAAGGAACATGTTGTCTTCAGATCTCGTTGAAAGCACGACAAGGTATCGGTCTCCTGGTATCCCGTCTCTCAGGTCTCGGCATTGAGGACCGAAAACATGGTAAACATGATGTAGAAAAGCAGCAAACTGGCCGACAAAATGTCAATCTCAAGGAGTAGATCACCTGAGTACAAGCACCTCAAGCACTGTGGATGGGATAGAATATTTTCGACCACTATTTCGGTATTTCTTTGATTTGAGTACTATTGCTCTATGGCATTGTGTACCAAATTGTTTGCTGCCCAATAAATTGTTTACTGCCCAATCTCCACGATGCGTCCCCTTGTTTGCGTTTGCTCTGTGGCTGGCATCCCGCTTGTGGTTCATGATGTTCTGTCTCCTCAATGTCCTTCTTTCTTTCGGTTTTCTTTATCTTGTTTCTATTGGTTTTCTTTCCATGTGTTGTTCCTCCTTCTTGTACGATTTGCATGTCTTTCCATACATCATAATATACACCATCTTTGCCTTGTGAGAATCCGTGTTCATGTCATGGATCCCGCTCGTTCTCTCCTTGGTCTCCTAGGTCCTAGAATGTCTTGTGCCAGCATCAGGTGCAGTATCGATGAATTGCCGGTCATCTTCACATCTCGAACCAATTCAAGGTCAGGTGTCTGTTTTTGGCTTTCCATCTTTTTGTGGGGACCGGGGACATGCATTTACCTTCATGAGCTACTTTCTGGCTTGCAACGACGTGCAACGATGCAATGTCAGTCCAGCTCGAAGGATGTGTTAGACAAAACCACTGAGTTCAGGACAAACCAAATGCCAACTGACACCTCCAAGAATAGATAGGAGGAGTGTGTAGAGCGTCCGCCCTAGTGATCCAAACCACGTCTCAACATGGTTCCTGAGCTCTGTGTTTCCAGGACCGCTCATGTCCTGCAAAGGAGGTCGGCTTCGCAATCAATATAGCCTCAAATACTAAAACAGTTTTATGATGATTTATGTCAAATTAGAACAGAGCACAACACCATTGTAAGTGCATTGAAAACAGAATGAGATGTGCAATACTTCAATGCATGCTATGGTCAGTGTGGTCTACTTTGCCTTATTCACGCTGACACTCCAAGACTGTGAATCGCGAAAGCAGTGGCTAGCGCTACACAAAAGGAAACAGTTCTAAAAGCAATGCTCATTTCGACTTGTTCTCAAATAGAAGTTCTGTCATCTTCCTTGAACGCAGGTGTCAGCATGTTCCGACGCCTAGGCAAATATGGAAAGTGTAAAGACAAGGTGCCTCTGGAACCTCTATCAGGAGCGAGATGTGCTTAACCAGTGAAAAGTGTGTGTGTGTGTAACTGTCTCTGGATCCACGAGTCCTGTTGAAGCAACCAATCAGCTGTGTTCATCGACAGACTGACGGCAAAGACATAGACAATAATGCCTGGATAGTGCTTCAGATGAAGCTATTCAGGCTTTTCTTGGACATCGGTGCGAACGATTCTAAATCTCTTTTTTCAACCGTCTTCCGTCTTCGGCATTTGGGAGTCGGTAAAGGCGTCCCTTGCCATTTTCCAAGATGCCCAGCAGGATCAAAGCTCCAAATAAAGATTTCAAGGAGTCCAGGATCATCATGGCCCAATTCGCCAGCTGCCGGAAGAATCGGAAGACCCGGAAGACTCTCATGATCCTCAGATCTCGACATCTCGACCCACCGAAGCCACGAGCTGAGCATCTTGCCTGAAGAGCTTGAGCATCTTCACGCTTCCCGCCAATGCAGGCGACATGTCTGCTGCCAAATAAGTGAAAATGACCTGTTCAAGGCATGGAACCCATTTCATCTAACATCAATGTCCTTGACTGCACGTGCAGTTCACTGCACGTATAGACCCTTTTAAGGTTTGCACGTCGATCACGGATGAAATGACGAGAAACAGGTCGAAAAGGTTCCAGCCTAAAGGAGTGGAAATCGAACAAGCAACGAGCAAAAAGGGCTACTGTAAAGGGAGGTAGTAACAGTATGACTCATGACACTAAAATAGAACTATGCATAGAGCGTAAAAAGCGAGAACAAGCGTAAGACAAGCGTGTGAACATACAGGGTCAAGCTGCCTTGCTCCTCTCCACAGAAGAACGTCAGCTTGTAGCCTGAGCTGT